AATTAGACAGATGGGCAGAGGGAAATGAAGCCGCGAGGCATAACGGGGCGGTCGACAAAAGGGTTTTCTGGCGACAGGGGAACGTCCAGACTGCCCCGATCTGCCGACAAACAGCTGATCGGCAGAGCGGGGCAGCCATTTAAATTTAAATGAAGCCGCGATTATTTTAATCGCGGCTTCATTTCCCTCTGCCTATCTGGCTAATCTACATGCCTCCGTCGACGGAGGCATGTAGTCTGGACGTACCCTAAGGGTTGGGGATAGCAAATGATGGACAGGAGGAGAATAGAGAGGGCGGGGCTTCAAGAAAGGGGGTGTGGCTTCAAGAAAGAGGCAGGTCTGTAGATCTTCGCCTGTTCGGAGATTTAAAAAGTGATCTTGGGTGTAACAAGGTTGGAGACCACTGGCTTACATTAATTACAGCTATGTCAGTGGCCAACTCTGTACAATAAGTGATAAGCACAATACCTGCATACGATTTGCACATCCCTCTCATAGAAGTAGCCAGCAACTTTAAAAGGAGACCCCCCAGCAGTTGGCTCAAGTATGAAAAGAACACATGGCAAGCCATCATACTTCACTGATTAGGAAATCTTAGAAGCACCATCAAACTAACTGTTCTGCCCCAGTGTGAATGGAAGAGTTGACTAAAATGTCACTTGTTCATAGCTTTAAAATCATTTCATGGTTTACACCAGTGTTTCCCAATTGGAGCAAAACGAGGGGTTCCGTGAGGAGCCGGCGCTCCACCGCCCCCTCTGAAAAAGAGAGAGAGAGCGCCAGCTAGCCAGCAGAGGCATGGGCAGCGAGTTGTGTGGGCTTGTGGTGCCCATGCTCCTGCAATATCTGGAGCTGGTCCCGACCCCATGCGCGCGCGTCCTCCCAGCCCGGCCCCAGAGCATCTCTCCCCGTCCCCAGACCCGTCCCCACCGTGTGCAACCTTTCTTGAGCTCCACCTAGCTGGCTGCTGCTGCCCTGCGCAGCGCGCTCAAACCAGCGGGTGGAGAGACGCCCGGACGTGACATAACGTCACAGCCCGGGATTTTAAACTTGCTGGGCGCTGTGATGCACCGCATGGCTTAGTTGCGGCTTCAGAGTCCGGGGACAGAGCACAGATTCCGGCCCCGCAAAGTGGAAGGCAGAAGGTACAGGAGAGGGAGAGGGGAGGGGCTTGTGCAGAGGGAAAGGGAAAGGGCTGGGAGAGGAAGGTGCTTGTGCGGAGGGGAAGGGGAAGGCACCAAAGTGACGGGGTGGAGGAGAGACAAATGACAGGGGGCCAAGTGCAGACAATGAGGAAAAGGGCAGGAGGAGAGGTGTCAGTGGGAGGGGGACAGGGTGATGCTGGGAGGGGAGACGGTAAGGGCATTGGAGGCTAGAAGGGTATGGGGAGGTGCTGGGAGAAGGCTTGAAAGAAGGGGTGGGCATGGGGAAGGCTGGGATGGAGCAAGTCATGTGAGAGGGCACAGGGGCATGAGGGGAACGGGGTCAGAGGGTGGTGAGGGGGTGGGCATCAGGGAAAAATGGAGCAAAGGGGGCAGGGGAAGTGAGGGAAGGGGGAGGCACCAGGAAGGTGTAGGGGTAAGAGAAGGTGCAGGTTCCAGGGGATTCTGGGCAGACACCTGCCCAGTGGAGGGACCACCATCAGAGGAGAGACGCAGGTTTGTAGAGGGAGGTGTTAGAAGAGGGGATGAGGAGGGGTAGCTCACATGATCAGAGTGGGGCTACTGGAGAAGTGGGCACAGAGAGGAGAGAAGGGCTGGTGGAGGGGGGCAGGTTGCAGGAGGGCTGAGGACAGTGAGAAGAGCAGGAGTCAGGACAGCAGAGGAGGGTGAGGAGTCAGGGGGCAGCAGGCACCAGGGGAGCTGACATGGCAGTAGAGGGAAAAGGTAGAGGTTTAAAAATATTTATTAATAACGTGGGTGGCACATCCAAACAATCCACATGAACTCAATACTGGTGCACAACACAAAATTCATTTTGCTCGTGTGAGGAAACTCTTAGGCTATGTCTACACTGATTGTTACTTGTGCAAGAACATCTTCCATGTGCGAGCTGTGCTTTTGCACAAGAGCATCTATGGCAGTGTGGACACTCTCT